ACGTTCTAACGTTCGACGTTAGACGTTAGATTAGAGTTAGAAGTAAGAATAAGAATAGAGTTACAGTTAACTAATACGTAATTACCTTAAGTTATTAATGTTTAGAACTTTACTTAAGTTAACGTTAGTACGTTAGTTTACCGGTTAGTTTACCGGTAACGTTTAACCGTTAGGTTTTAACCGTTGGTTAAACTACTTAACGGTTAAAGTTAACGTTTAAAACTTAAACGTTTAAACGTTAACGTTAACGTTAAACGTTAAACGTTAAACGTACGTACGTAAGTTAACGTACGTAACGTACGGTAACTAACGGTAACTACGTACGTTACTAACGTAACGTAATAACGTAACTACTACTTATTATAATAAGTATTACTACGTACGAACGTAACGTAACGTACGTACGTAACTAACGTAAGTAACGTACGTACGTATAGTATAGTAGTACGTAGTACGTACTAACGTAATAATTAACGTACTTAACTTACGTAACCTACGTACGGTAACTTAAGTTAAACTTAACGTTAACGTTAACGGTAACGTTAAACGTAAAGTTAAACGTTAAGTTAACGTCGTTACGTTAACGTAACTAACGAAGTACTAATAAGTAGTACGAAGTTACGGTACGTTACCAACGAACTAATAACGTACTAGTTAGTAACTCAGCTAGTAATACTACTGAGTTACTAGCTAAGTATACTGTCAGTATATATACGTGTAGTTAGAGACTATCGGTGCTACCACGTCTCAATATATTATACTAGAGTCCAGCAAAGTATACCGGTACTAGACACTAATATGACTTGGAGTTCGATACACAGTAGCTACTAACGTCCAGTATATTATGCTGGACCGGTCTCTATTGCAGCAAAATAGTGGCTATTTTTCATTGACTTGGTAAACGCTGGCTATTTTTGATCGACCAGTCCGAAAACTGGCTATATCGTGTTATTTTTACAATGGAATGTGCTCAAACTAGCTAAGATGCTACCGTCATCAAATATTCTCTGAGAAGTTTAATTAAAAAGGCCCGCCACACTTAAATTAAGCGAAGATTGTCGAGAACAAGGCCCTACAATAGACCCTTGTGGTTCAGCCTTTCCGACGCGCATAGAGAGAGTTTAATGCACGAGGCGTTTTTTCTTTTTGTCGAGAACATGGCCAATAATACAGCAACCATTGCCTCAACCAATTTGGAAAAAGCAATGAATGCCAAAGGTAGTTGAAGCAGGGCCACATGGACTAGGTTGTGCAATTGCAGGATATACAAATTCAGCAGCAAATTTATGGCAAACTTCATCCACTTGGATCTAGGGAGTGGGGGCCATATGACCATGTTATTATTTTGTGGGTATAAATGCTGGTGATGAATGAAATGTGATAAAATAATTATAGGGGAGTACTACAAAACAAAACCAAGTCAAAAAAGAAACAAAAAGAACCAACATAAACATTAACCAACGCACAAACATACAGAAAGAAAAAAAAAAGCAAATGCTGCTTTATTTCCAACACTACCTGTGACCTTCATGAACTTGACAATACGCCGATTCAGCCCTCGAAACAAGAAACATAAATCGGAGACCAAAATTAAGGGTTCAGGTCAACCGTCCCCTCGACCAAAAACATGAACTAATCCTTAGTTCATGAAGCAAGGCCACTAGGAGAAGGTGCAGTAGCAGGAGATCCCAATTCAGGCAAAACATTGATAGCCAGTTTCATTCCTTTGGCACAGTGCTTCCCTATTCCACAAATGTACCATTTTTTTCCTGGTGTTGTGAGAGAAATCACGTCATTTCCAGAAGTTAAGGGTGTAATAAAACTACTTGTTGTGCAGTTTTGGAAGGCACGCTGATCTGCTCTATACACATTGTGAGCTCCTTGCTTGTATTTGAAGACTGCAACACAAAAAATTTGGTTCAATCAACATCCTAAACTTGAATTGCTTTCTTACCCATTAATACGGATTTGAGTTAAATACATCGAATGCATAAAGAATTTTTATATAATCAGTTCAATTTAACAGGTTATTTCAGGTTATTACTCTATTTTCCGGGTTGCGATATCAAATTTGAAATCGAGATCATCTATTGTTGTAAGTCAACTTAGCCCGACGATGTAAAAACTACCACTACTAAAAATCCGGGCAAAATCGACCAAAGTTGGTCGGTAATGGCTAATAACCATCCCAAAACGCGACCATTTACGCGTGGACAGTATTTTGAAGGTCGGAAGGGCATACCGACCAAAGTTGGTCGGAAATTACCGACCAAATTTGGTCGGTCAAGTAAATTCAAAAAAAAAAAAAAATATTGCCGAAAAAATCGACCAAAGTTGATCGGTATTTTAATTATGTAATTAAAAAATGCACCATCTGGGAATCGAACCGGGGGACTGTACTATGGTAGGATACTATTCTACCACTAGACCATTAGTACATTTTGTTATAAGACTATCTTTTATTTGATTTATAATCTTTAATTGTATTTTCGCATGAAAATAACCGACCAAAGTTGGTTGCTTTTATCAAAAAATAAAATTACCGACCAAAGTTGGTCGGTTTTTTAAAATGACTGGCCGAATTAACCGACCAATTTCGGTCCTTTTTTTTAAATATTAATTTTAATTTATTTTAAAATAAAAACCGACCAAAGTTGGTCGGTTTCTTGAAAAATAAATTTTGCGGGACTCAAAAATAGTTTCCCGCATTTTTGCGCTTTGGTCGGTTTCGTAAAAAAAAATAAAAAAATAAAAAATTTGAAAAACCGACCAACTTTGGTCGGTTTTTTCGCCGGTTTTTTGACCGACGTTTGGTCGATTTTTGCCGAATTTCTAGTAGTGCTATATACTACTAATACTAGGGGTGTAGAAAGGAAACCGACAAACCGCACCAAACCGATAATCCGAGTCAAACCGAGAAAAAAAAATCCGACTCTGGTTTAGTTTGATTTGGTTTGCTGTTAGAACAAAACACCCGACCATAATTGGTTTGGTTTGGTTTTAACTAAACAAAGTCAAACTGAAACCAAACCAATCGAACATTACATGCATACAAGTTATAAAAATATTTACGTAAAAACAATTATTGTAATATAATTTATAAATATAATTTAAACTCTTTAATAGTTCTCTCTTTTAATGTATTATTTCAAACTTGAACTTAGAACTTTTGAATGGTCAAATATGTTTTATAACCCATAAAAATTAGTAACTCAAATAAAGCCCAAGCAAAATCAAATCAATACTAATGCTAACAAAAAAAATCAATTTAATATTAGAAATACAATAGTATTGGAAATCTATTTTTGTAGTTTCGCATTGATTTAGATAGTGAAAATGCATAACTAACTTTTAATATTATTTAGTCATGTAATTAATACTTTAGTACTTATTAGTTGTACTTATTTTAACATGACTTAGTACTTTTAGATTATGTGTATTTTTATTATGGCTTATTAATTAGCAATATTTATCTTATGCGATTTGTTGAGTATTTTAGTATAATTATGACTCATCTCATATTATTTTGTATTATTTTATTAGGTAACATCTTATATAGTTTTATCCTACTATGACCTAAGAAATATTAGAGCACAAATTATAAATTTTGTGCTTTGAAGATTTTGTCAGAAAAAAACCCGAAAAATCTGAGAAAACCGAAAAACTCGAGAAAAACCGTGATTGAAAAACCCGACTTTTGTTGGTTTAGTTTGGTTTGGTAGTTGAAAAATCCAAGATAATTGGTTTGATTTGGTAATTGAAAAATCCGAACCAACCCGGCCTATGTACACCCCTAACTAATACATTGTTGGTGTACTGAACTTAAACTCTACAATTAATGGACCATGTTAGGTCTTCACTCAAACATTTTTTCCACATTAATAATACTTCACACTCATGTACTATTATCTACTGTTAATGGAAGTTAATATGGAATCATTAATCCAATCCAAAATTGTCCATTGATTCAAATCCGAGGTAATATTGGGAAAATACAAAATTTACCCTAAAAATCCATGATGTGCATGGTGAAAGACATCATATATTAAGTTGGGTCGAAAAATGAGTTTTTTAATTTTTTTTAAGTGATGTCACGTATGTGTGTGTATATATGTATAAAGTGACCGAATTTAGCATTTTATTACCTTTTCAATTTCAACGATTAGTTGAGTTATTTTTTAGCTACAAAAAATAGTTTTATAACTTTAATACAATAAATTGAAAATTGAAAACTTACTGAGCGTATCTCCCACGTGGAACTCTTTGGTGGAAGCCCAAGCTTTGTAGTCAAAGTTGAGTACCCAACCTTGATCATCACCAACCCAATGGTCAGTTGACAAAGCTGGAGCAGTAACCATGGCAACAGCAACAACTAATGTAATCAAGAATGCTGTCGAGGCCATTGAGAATATCTTGTAGCTAATGTTGTTTGAAAGTTTTTCCTTTTATTTTGATTGGTTTGGGAAAGTTATAGATGATTTGAATTTGTTGTTGATCTTGGGACCTATTTATAGGTTGTTAATTGCTGAAAATATTGGAAGTTAGCCGGCTAATAGCTGCATTTTATACATAAATCTTGTCAATTAATATCTCACTTTGCCTAATCTCATTTTGCCTTATTAACACCGTCTAAACAAAATCACAAATGGAACTATAGAAACGTTACAATGCCTTGATCAAGCTTTTAGGTTCACGCTACCAGCTTGTGGTTTGACGCAAATTATATTTATGCCCATTGAGTTTTCACAATGTTTATTTTGATACACCTATTATTATTGTAATGTACATTTATTGGCAACCTTATGCCAAATAAATAAAAAATTAATTTACCAATTAGGAGGCTAAATTGATACTTGGTGCCAAATTCCCTTTGATAAATTGTCTAATTTTAAGTCAGGGAGACCCTCCAGGTCAAAATATAATTGATTACGTGGACATAAAGTGCAAGAGATTATACTCTCTTGGGCCCCGAATTTCTTAAGTCTTGTATTTCATGGAGGTCTCAATATGATTTATTTAAGAAAATATTACAAGAAAATACACGTGACTTCACATCATAATAAAAGACGGTCCATGTTTTTAAATTTTACCCGACCTAACCCATATTGTACATATTTTGAAAGCACTAGCAAATTCAAAATCTGTGTTCTTACAACTATTGCTTCTAAAAGCTATGGAGTTAAATTTGTGTTCTCACAATCATTCTTTCACTCTCTCTTCTTCTCAATTTTCTACATATGCTTCAAGTGTCCGTCCGCCATTACTGCTCCCCCCCCCCCCCCTGTGTCATTTGGTTGCAATGTAAGAAAATTGAAGAGTACACGTCCACCATTGAACGCCATTCAAAGCTTTGCTTTCGAAAATAGGATTTTTTGAGTTTGTTGGTTGTTTGGATTGGGTGTTGTTCCAATTGATTGAAATATCAAAAGGAGATCAAAATTTAATTTGAAGTGATTTGGAGTAGATTTGAGTTAAATTTCAGAAAAGACGCAAGGAAGAAGACGAAGTCAGTTTTTTTATATAATTATGTACAATCTTGTATAATAGTGAATATGAGTGTATAAACACATCTTATACACTATTATACACCTATATACAAGCGTCTGTAGACGAACTTCTTCCTCGATTTTCAGTTGTAATTCTTGTTCAAAACTAGTCCAAATCTCCATTAAATGACTTCAATTTTGTTTACAACCTCCTTATACTATTTCTAACAAGTCTATATAACACCCACTCCAAATTTTTCAGAAAATCAAATTCGAAATTTAAACTCACATATTTAAGCTTGTTAAAAATCTAATTTTTACCACCCAAATAGATTTGGTTTGTTGAACTAATATTTGAGTCACAGTTATTGATTCGAAAATTAACTTAAAAGCTTGAGAAATCATTTTTAAAAATTAAATAGTAATTTCGAGAACCTATTGGAGTTGGATATTGAATCATAGCCTATTATTTTTGGGCTAGTTGGTAGTAAATTGAAATATGGGCTATAAAATCTAAAAACAGGGAGCCCACTTATTCTTTGTGAAATTTTCCAATTATTTAAAGTGAAATTTTCATAAAGCACTATCTTTTAGTGGTAATTAGCTATCTATAGATACCATTTGCTATATTACGGATTGTAGATACGTTTTATGTTGTTATAAGATGTATTTAAGCTACTGTATTCATGAATACAGTAGCAAAAATAGGTGTGAATCAGGGAAGTCCAGCTAATCAGTTGTTGTATTCGAGTGTATTCGACTGTATTCATGGCGTGAAACATGGGATTACAGCTGGATAGATTATTGTATTCGACTGTATTCACGGCGTGAAACATGGGATTACACTGTTTTTAAACGGAAAGTGAATCAATTAACATAATAGACTCCTAATATAACTCAACAAACTCAATTATAACACACAAATTTTGTATTTTCAGTTATAAAAAAGATTCTCAACTGAAAAATACCCCAAAAATTTAGCAATCTTTAGGGAAATTATATAATACATCTGAATACATAAATTATATTAATTAAAAAAATATATGAATACATTCATGGCATATAGCGAGACAGTGAATACAATGAAATACATAGAATACAACGGGATACATTGAATTACAATGAAAAAAAAGACAATGAATACAATGAAAGCCAGCTGTTTTAGCTGTCGGAGGGTTCTCGATCTACAAGCAAGGAAGGCTCTGAAGTGCGTTTGAATAGTACGAGCTGCAGCATCGCGTAGGGACTGACGAGAACGATGAGAACTAGAAGAGATACGGCGGAGAGAAGATTCTAAGGCGGCGATCCGACGGAGAAGAGATGTAACAATGCGTTGATTTTGCTATTCTGGTATTTTGTTGACTTGATGATTTGCTTCTTGAAAATATTGATGATTTTGGTTATCAGAAAATATCATCGTGTTTCAGAAAGATGATTTGCTTCAGAAAATATTGATGATTTTGGTTAAGGGGTTGGTATTGGCATTGAGTAGGAGGGTTGTAGGGTGGTGGGGGTGGGGTTAGATGGGAAGTACAAAGAGGAATTTTGAGATTGAGGATCGTGTTTTCAGGGAATGGGGGAAGAAAATGGCATGTATCAAAGTAGAGAGAGAAATAAAATAGTGTAACTGAATAGCGTATTTAGTACCTTAGGGGTAGGAGGTAACTAAAATTAGATATTTTGCTATAAACATTAGAAGGTATCTATAAAATATAATTTTTTTAAATGGTATTTATTTAAAATAAATAAGGTATTAACCTTTGGTATAGGAGGTAAAAATTCCTTATTTAAATCCCAATCTATTAAGTGCAATTATTTACTTTTTTTTTCTCAGCCACTTATTAGGTCTAAATTATTTAGATTTTATCATTAATTTTCAGACAAGAGTGGGTTGCTCTAGTGGTGAGCACCCTCCACTTCCAACCAAGAAGTTGAGAGTTCAAGTCACCCCAAAAGCAAGATGGGGAGTTCTTGGAGGGAGGGATGACGAGGGTCTAATTCTTACTTTTTAACAAAGTAAGGATTAAGTGCCATAAAAATAATTAAAGACCGTATACATAAATACTACAACAAATTAAAGTCTTCAATAATAATACCTTGACATACATAATATCTACAACTATTAATAATAATTTAGAATTTACATAAGTGCGGTCAAATAAAATATGAGTTTGATAAGTCTTATAAGAAGTCAATTCATAAGTTTTGCTGCTATAAGCAGGTAACAAATGATCTATTATTTGAGATTAAATATTGATTTTGAATTTTAATTTTGCTTCTTTGAAAGTTAAATAATTCTTTATTTCATATACAATTACTACTTTCTTCCTTTGTCATATATGATTACTATTTTTCTATCTTTCAATAAAAATATAATTGTTACATTTGACATTAATTTTTCATCGCCTAATAATTAATGTTAGGCAACTCTTATCATGATTTTTCGTAATTGAGCAAAAATATTCATCATTTTTGTCATGGCAACCATTTTCATTTTTTCAAGTCAACTATTTTTATTTTTTTTATAATTTGAAGCAAAAATACTCATTTAGCTACAAGATTTTTTTCCGAATAATTTAATATGCCCAAAAGGTTATTATCACTATAGCAAGTTTCAACTCATAGGAAAAGCTAATAAATAGCTACGGAATTTCATCATATCAATAAATTTGTGGCTAGATTATTCCGTAATGACAAATACTGTAATTATAGTTACTAAGCCAACTATTACCATACTTTTTCAGGATATGATGCAAAAATATTTATTTACTATAATATTTTATTTTAAATAATTTATTGTGGTTAAAATGTTACTTTTGCAGTTTTGCTACAGTAACTTTTAGTTTGTGGCAAAAACTAACAATTAGCTACATTATTTTATCATAGCAATAAATCTATGGCTATATTATTTACCTATGCTACAGTTTTTTTTATAACTTGAAGCAAATGTATTTCTTTTGCTACAATATTTTATTTTAAATAATTTATTGTAGCTAAAAGGTTACTATTGCTACAATAACTTTTAACGCCTGGCAAAAACGTATGATTAGCTACGTAATTTTGTTGTAGCAATAAATTTGTAGCTATTTAGGTAGTTATTGCTACGACTGTTATCAATTATAGCAAAAATAAGGAATTAGCTTTACCAATTTAATTTTCGTGGCTAGCAAATTTTACAAATTTATAAGTAGCCAGGAAATTTTAATTTTTGTGGCTATTGTTAGGTATTAGCCACGATTTTTAAATTCATAGCTAAGATTACGTAGCTATAAATACATTGTGTTGTAGTGTCAAGCGACAATTGGTTGCATTTGTTATTAAATAAGTTGTTATTTCTGTTAAGCCACAGGTTCCAAATAGCAAATGAAAAGAAAATATCCCAAGAGATATCCCACTGATCCAATGCTATATTAGAGTCTTTTAATTTAGTGAGCCAATGTTCAGAGTTTTGGTGAAGGGAAAGAAAGTTGAGGTGCGCATCGCTCCAGAATTTGATGGCTATGGGGCATTCGAAGAAAACATGCATAATCTCCTCTGCTCCTTTGCATATAGAACAGGTAATATCAATGTTAAGGCCAATTTGATGTAAATAATTTTGGGTAGGGAGCCGATTATAGGAACATTGCCAAAGGAGGTATTTTTATTTTATGGAGCGTGTTAAGCTTCCAGATCCACTGTAACTTAAAGTTATTGGCATGCGGTGAGGAGATGAGTTTATACATAGAGTTGGTGGAAAAGATACCGTTTGAGGTATGGGCCCAAGTGGGAATATCTCTAGTGTTATTGATGGTGTCAAGATTAATGGAGAGGATTTTGTTCTTTATTTCAGTAGGCAGAGTAAAGGATAGTTTTGAGAGATCCCAATTGTTTGCCGTCCAAAGATCTTTGAATTTGAGGGCATGGTCATTTTGGTTCAT